GGTCCTGCCTCAGGTGGAGGAGTTTAAGTATCTCGGGATCTTATTCACGAGTGGGGGTAGGATGGAGCGGGAGATTGGCAGGCGGATTGGGGCGGCGTCAGCAGTGATGCGGATGCTTAACCGGTCCGTGGTGAAGAGGAAGCTTAGCCACAAAGCAAAGCTCTCGATTTACCGGTCGATCTACGTTCCAACCCTCACCTATGGTCATGAGCTCTGGGTAGTGACCGAAAGAACGAGATCGCAAGTACAAGCGGCCAAAACAAGTTTCCTCCGCAGGGTGGCTGGGCTCAGCCTTAGAGATAGGGTGAGGAGTTTGGACACCCGGGAGGGACTCGGAGTAGAGCCGCTGCTCCTCCACATCGAGAGGAGCCAGTTGAGGTGGTTCGGGCATCTGGTAAGGATGCCTCTCGGACGCCTCCCTTGGGAGGTGTTTCAGGCATGTCCAACCGGGAGGAGACCTCGGGGCCGCTCCCGAGGAGGAATTACATCGCCCAGCTGGCCTGGGAACGCCTCGGGGTTCCCTTGGAAGAGCTGACGGAGGTGGCTGGGGAGAGGACTGTCTGGGCTTCTTTGCTGAGGCTGCTGCCCCCGCGACCCAGACCCGGATAAGCGGAGGACGACCAGACGAGACGAGATATGTTTTTACGTACCAAACAACTTAAGTCTTGTTTAAATGTACTGGAGGCACTGCTCAGTGCTGGTAATTACAAAACAACACTGCATGTTTTTTTTCTGTGCTAAAAGGTGGAGAAATCAACTAATCATCAATCAGTGTCTGTGTGCAAACTTCCCAGAGCCACCCACTGCCATCATGCACACAGGAACACCACTGAAAATGATCCGCCTTCTGTAATAACAAACCTACCTAATCTTATCTGGATTGTGTACCATTAGTATGTAATGCAGAGACTGTTTAATTACCCTTGAAATTGAAATCATTTTGTCTACTGAAGCTCTTTGCCTCGTGCCACTTGTTGAAATTTTCTCATTGACATATCAATGTGGAAAATCAGGTGTGAAGACATATTTGAGTGGGGTTCTTTTTGGTACCCTTTTTATTCCTACTATGGCGGGAGGGAGTCACTTTAGGCATGGTAATGAGTTATGCAGCAGATAAAACAGCAGAGAGAAAACACCTCAAAGGGCCTACAGTATATTACACAGTGGCAGCAGAGGTTGTTAGCACAATTAATTCGACTACACTGTATTTAGACAAGGTCCTCTGTGACCTACCTCCTCTAATGGCTCCAAAACAATTTGCATACCAAACTAGAAGGGCACTCAAAGAGCGCAGACCTCTGCCAAGGCCAATTGTCCAGTCTTCTGTGATATGCAAATCTGCAAGCGCAACCACAATATATGTCTGGATCTATTTACAAAACTATTAGAATTATGTCAAATATGGTTGACATGTGTAGGCTTCCTCAGAGGATTACTGATACCCATGAATTGTGGATTGTGATATAGAGTAATCATATTTCCACAGCTGGCTTTGTTTTGACACTTCTGAACTTTACTATCATGATGTATGGCATTTATTCTGCCAAAGCCAAGTGCCCTATCTTGCAGTGTTAACAAAAGTGAATAATAATTTGTGATCTGTGCCATGATTTGGAGCCCCTCCAAAATTTAATGGATTCTTCCTTGGCCCATGCTAAACCCTTCCACCAAGTAAATACCAAGAAAATATGCCCTTAAAGGACAGTTCCACTGTGGTTTGAATATTTGCTCATTACTGTACCTGTCTGTGCTGTGGAGTGCCTTGTGATTCTGTGCACGGTCAGACTTTATTTTCTGTTCACATGCTGCCTTTTGGTCAACATTTCACATGTCCTTGCTCTCAACGCCGGCTTCTGATTGCCTTTAGAATTTACTTTAAAATGTTATCCATAAATTATATTGGGCCTTGCTCCTGGTTATATTGCTGAGCTGTTAACTATGTTCCCACACAGGGGATTAAACCTGACCTTGGAACAACCATTTTGCTGTGGGTGCTTGGATCCATAATGTTGTATTATTTCACTATTTCTTCATGGCATAAAGCATCACAGACTGGCCAGGTAGGTGCTGTCACATCATTGTGAAGTCATCATAATGCTAGCACTTCCCACTTACCCCAAATTTGTCTGCTGTTTAATTGTAAATCTAGAATTACCAATTTGCATTTGTATGCTTCCATAAACTTGTCAAACTGCAGTTACCGTTGACATCTGTGTCTGTGAAAACATGGATGCTTCATACACATCTTCCCCCCTGGCAGCACAGAAGATCTTTACAATCAGCACAGTTTCAAGGTGGACACCCAAGATTAGAGTCAGCAATTCAGTATCTGACCAAATGTCTCCCCTTCTGTTCCTGAGATATGATGTTGAGTAATGGCCAGAGAAGTGTTTTATGCGGAACATTATGATGTCACAGTGAAGATGACCTTTGACCTTCTGAATATAAAATGTAATCATTTTATCCTATTAGACATTTGTGTGAAATTTTGTCATAATCAGTGTATTAATTCCTGAGTTATGGCAAAAAAATATGTTTTGTGAGGTTACAGTGATCTTGAACTTTGACCTCTAAAATCTAATTAGTTCATCGCTGAGTTAAAGTGGGTGTTTGTGCCAAATCTGAAGAAATTCAGTAAAGGTGTCCCCAAGCTACCACATTCACAAGAATGAAACAGATAAAGTCATTATGACCTTGACCTTTGAGCTATGACCACACAATTTTAATGGCTTTATCACTGACTCAAAGTGGATGTTTGTGCCAAATCTGAAGAAAATCCCTCAAGGTGTTCTCGAGATACAGCATTCACGAGAATGGAACAGATGAGGTCACAATGACCTTGACCTTTGACCACCAAATTATAATCAGTTCATCCTTGTCTCAAAGTGGTTGTTTGTGCCAAATTTTGAAAAATAAAATCCCTCAAGGTGTTCTGGAGATATCAGGTTCATGAGAATGAGATGTATGAAAGGGCACAGTGAGCTTGACCTATGACCACCAAAATCTAATCATTTTAATGTAAAATCCAAACGGATATTTGTGCCAAATTTGAAGAAAATTCTCTTGGAGGCTCTTGAGAATGGCGTGGACCAACAGACAACTCAAAAACATAATGCCACCAATACAGAGGCATAAAAACGCTACACACCTTCAGTTAAACACAATGGTACATTTTTCGGTGAACAAACCTGCTTGGATCAGAAGGAACTCCTTGGACTCAGAGCCCATCACATTGGTTGCTGTGCAGTTGTAGCTCCCAAAATCATTCTGAGAATCAGGGGTAACCTGAGAAACAGAAAAAGACACAAACACAGAGAGGTCAAGGGGCCTGAGGCACTGCAGGAGAACAAGAAAAGAATACAACTAGGTACCGAGTAGACTCTTTAAGAACTTCAATATGTACCTTATAGGCAGTAAACAGTGTGTGATTCATGTGGGAAGTGGATATATATCACAGATACACAGATATCTACTATAGAAATGAATCATTCATTAACAAAGCATTGAGCACTCTGTACCTAATAACTAGTCTACTATTACAATCCTGGATTCAGAGTTGCTCTTCTGAACTATTCAAACCCTGACAATATTCATAAAAAAACCTAACACATCTCTTTGTACTCTATTAACCCCTGTGTTTTTGTGTGTCAGTGAGGTGCAGCAGACCTCCAGGTAGCTGATGGTCGGTGTGTTGTAGATCTTCATGTTGGTGGTGTTGGCAGAGGGCAGCTGGAAGCCGTCTCTAAACCAAACCACTGAGGCTCCGGGGTGAGCCTCAACCTCACAGCTGATGTTGGCTGGGTTCCCCTCCCACGTGTACACTGTCACTCGACCCAGGATCTTTGGAGCATCTGCAGCAACACAGAGGGGAGCGAAGATGGAAAATGTCACAACAAGGCATGTTTGGAAGAGTTTACTGATAATCTAAAGTGTTTACTCCTTCAATCGGGTTCATCTGGCAGAGGAAAAAATGTGAAAATGCAAAGGTTTATTCTTTTTAAACAGTAATAAATACGGCATGTGCATAATTTTTTGAGGTAGGCTTGTGCAATGGATCTGAACAGTCAAAACATTTACATATTTTCTCCCTTTTCAACCACTTCAGTTGGACATTGTCATAAGGTCAAGGAAAGATTTAGATTTAGAGGAGCCATGGCCCAAAAGAATTCGACTGGATTTACACAAGGCAACATTTAGAGGCAATATCCACTGCAAATGCTCTTTTAAATGTGAATATAAAATGAATAAATACCAACATTTTACAGTACACCCAGACATTACTATACATCATTACACATAGCATCCCTACTGTGTCTGGTGTGCCAGGCAAGTGAACACAGCATAATATTTCTATAATCCAGTACTGACTCTTGAAATCATTCCAGAAGTGTGTGAGAACAGACAGAGAGGAGATGTTGATTGATTTTACATCCTTTTTTACACGAGCACACGTATTATCATCAAACCCGTCAAATCTCTGCATGAAAAATCCACGGGGCTGATAACAGTCAGTCAGCTGGGAAAGGCCACATGGAGTCTTCTATCGCAGGCGCAAGGAATTATGGGATGGCAATATTGCCTTGCTTCCCTGCAGCTCAACTTCTCAGCATTTCCAGCAGATCTTATCATGGCTTCCAGTGAGATACTTCATTTAGAAATCTTTGCAATCAAAAAAAGACATTTAAAGTCACACTCCCGAAGGCAGCTGGAGCGATTGCGGCGATGCTGACAGGACCTGAAATCTTAATGGCAAACAAATGCGAGTTGTATAATGGCTCTATTTTTTCTTACGTTTATATATTCAAGTCTTTAATGATATCCATTGGAGTTTTAAAGACAACCTATGGTGCTTTTATGGAACATTAAATTGCCATTTTTTCCCATTTAACTCGTGAAAAAAGTCGGTTTTATTGCAAGATGCTCCAGCTCAGCAATTACAAAAACTTTAATGTCTCACAGGACTGAGTGCTTATTATTGCACAATAGATCTAACAGGCACACAATCATAAGTTAAAGCAGCTACAAGGAGTTTTTAAAGTGGTTATGAAACAGTCTCGATTTAATACTGATGCCTCAATATGACCTACATAAGCAAACGAGACAAACGCCGTGAAGATTGGTTATTTCTATACAGTTTTTCTTAATGCTTGTCATTGGGTCTGAATCTCCGTGAAATCAGACAAAACGATTCAAGGCATGCAGAATGAAAAAAGCCAACATTTACATTTTCCCAGGCAAAGTTTGGCAGTGAGTAGTATATTAGTCGGCTAAAAGGAAGCAGGAGGAGATTCTTCTTGGAAGCAGTTATTTTAGACGTCATACTTTGTAGTAATGGCTGATACTGGGGCAGGATTAGCAAACAGAAAAAGAAAAGAACTGAAACCAAGAGCCAAAAATATCTACAGGGACAGTGATAGAGCAGGGGTGAAAGCACAAATCAACCTTGGTTGGTCATTCAAAACGTGGGTAGAACTGCAGGATTTGAGAGGACTCAAAACCGATATTGAACTGGAGCTCTTCCACCTAGACAGGAATGTAATATGCCCCAATATGACCTACATAAGCAAACAAGACAAATGCCGTGAAGATTGGTTATTTCTATATAGTTTTTCTTAATGCCTGTCATTGGGTCTGAATCCCTGTGAAATCAGACAAAACGATTCAAGGCACGCAGAATGAAAAAAGCCAACATTTACATTTTCAGTACAAGGGAGCCTATCACAGCTGACATTGGGCGAGGGGCAGGGTACACCCTGGACAGGTTGCCGGACTATCACAGGGCTGACACATAGAGACAGACAACCATTCATGCTGACATTCACACCTACGGACAATTTAGAGTCACCGATTAACCTGCATGTCTTTGGACTGTGGGAGGAAGCTGGAGCACAAACCCACCCTGACACAGGGAGAACATGCAAACTCTGCAAAGAAGGGCTCCTGCACCCCAGGGTAGGAACCCTCTTGCTGTAAGGCGACAATGCTAACCACTGCACCACCATGCACTGTCTCTTTTCTTCATTCACCTCCAAAGCAAATGCAAACGTTAGCTAGATCAAGATCTTTGCGTCACAAGGCAGTGGTGCTCATGGAAACACTACTGCTTTTGTCCACAGGGGCCGCCAAAACCAACACAAAATGAAAGTTCCTTGTAGTTGCCTAAAGGCTCTGATACACGAAGCCAACGGTCGCACGTAGGCCAATGTTGGGCTGTTGGTCAGTGTATGTTGCCCTTGTCCATGCGGTGTGGCCTGCACCTCTGGCCCTCATTGGCTTTTCTTTCACTGATTTAGCAAGTTGAATTGGCGTCAGCAATGGCAGAGCCCACGGGTGAATGAAATCACTCTGATTTTCAGTTCAGCTCAGAGCATGGGAAGAGAAATGGGTGTGAGGAAAGTAAACAAAGAGCTTAAGTCAAGAGGGAGTGAGACCAAAACAAACTTGTTACCTCTCACATTGACGCAGAATGCATATGCTTGTTGGTGTCAGCTGAGTCAGTACGTTCATGAGCAACTTTTTGGCCGAGACACAGGTCACAAACCAGGTAGAAGCCAACAACAGCACACAGGTGAGATTGGGACTTTATAAAAGGGTAGTGAGCAGGTAGTAGCAACACATGTCTAAGTGGAAACTATGAAAATTGCGGACACAGGGCTAAAAATGCAAATATAGCTAGATGAAACGCCAAGCAGACAAAGTTCATTCCAAACTAGTGAATGTGGGGTTGGCTCTCACTTTCACCTTCGCTGTCACACAATGACGAAGAGGATGGGGAAGAAGTTGGCCTGTTGTCTGTTGTAGGTGTGAGTAGTTAGCTTAGTTAGTTTGCAAAAGTATTGGCTTTTCCACTACAACAGATGTAACGTTTCTATAATGGTACAGTAGTGCAGGGAGGAGGGGGGGAATTTTGAATGTTGTGTTAACAAGCAGTAACCAGCAATTCCTGTATAGTTTGCCTTTAACAAGGCCATTGAGTCAAAACAAATAACACAGCTAAAATCTGTCTGCTCCAACTGCTACAGAAAATTCAGCTGGTTCATTTTGGGTTTGATGAAACTTCCTCTCACTACAGCTGCTCTTTATTTGATACCTGCAGAGAGACCAATAAGACTGCTACCATTCATGCTACAATATAAGCCCCATTTAGCAGCCTATTTTGACGTGCTCATTGAAATGAATTGATACCATATGGTCAAAACTCTTCACCCTGAACCTTAATTTTTTTTGGCATCATCACTGTAAGAGGCTATAACGGGAGATGACTGTTTTCCTGCATTGTTTCCTTTTATTATATCCCGCTCACATCACCTGCGAGCAGTGCTTCTGAATGCGGTGAAGTATGCTCTGCTTCCTGAGTGCTGTGAAACGCTATGGCCCCTGACACTGCCGGGCTTTACTTCTGACCCTGGATCCTTGAAAACTCTGCAGTGTGCTACAGCTGGAATTGATGGACGAGGCTGAGTCAATAAATGCTCCATCTCCTGCAGCCCTGATTAGAGTCTTGCTCCTTCTATCAATGCTGCTTTTGGGCTTTGTTAACTCACTACAGTGCCTGTGACCTGCCTGTTTGATTTCTGTAGCCTCCTGGTCTGGTCTAGGTGAGATTATCAGTATGTTTGCAAATAACAGAGATGTTTTCATTGCTGGTGCTCATGTAGGTCACAAATAACACAAAATACATAACAAATATAGCACTACATACAATAATATTAATTACTAGGGCTTATAAAAAGTATATAAAGGTTAGTCATAACTACAGTAGTATTAGTAGAAATGAAGTATGTTGTCACCTCTAGGAGAGGAAGAGTAATTATTTGAACAGTAGAGGTATATATGATATTTCTTATAAGATTATGTCAGATGTCTACACTCAACATTCTTAGGTGTCCTTTTTCCTTCTTACTGTGAGTATTCATAAATCAAGCCAATAAGCTATTAATTAATTCATGCTCATGCCTCTCTGGATATGTATATATTTATGTATAAATGTTTGCATGTCTGTGGATATTCTCATTTATCCAGGTCAATTCCATTCTGGCAACAATTAAATCGTAGACAACTGGACTTTGATTTTGTCTAGAAGACGTTTCGCCTCTTATCCAAGCGGCTTCATCAGTTCTCAACGCATCAGTCTGACTAGTCCTCACTAGTCTGACAAACAGTGGAGTAAGACTCAGGTTTTTAACCTCTGTGGAGGTGTACACCCACCACCCTCATAAGACAATACTTCGTTAGTGGAGTTTCACTGGACCATTGTTTGGGTCAGGTGAATCACACTAGTGAACGACGGTCGTTAGGAGTGAGTGGGGCCACTGGACGTTTAAATAGAGAAACCGTCTCTAAACAGGGGAGGTGGCCTGAGACACCACCTATCCCCCATTTACAATGCGGCCCTTGCTGCTGTACCTAAGAGATTGAACAACAAAGACTGCCCGAAACTAACCTCAAGTGGCTCAAAGAATCACAACGACAGTCGTTCACTGGTAACCACACATCATGCCTAACGACTGTTGCTCACCAGTGGCCCCACTCACTCCTAACGACCGTCGTTCACTAGTGTGACTCACCTGACCCAAACAATGGTCCAGTGAAACTCCACTAACGAAGTATTGTCTTATGAGGGTGGTGGGTGTACACCTCCACAGAGGTTAAAAACCTGAGTCTTACTCCACTGTTTGTCAGACTAGTGAGGACTAGTCAGACTGATGCGTTGAGAACTGATGAAGCCGCTTGGATCAGAGGCGAAACGTCTTCTAGACAAAATCAAAGTCCAGTTGCCTACGATTTAATTGTTGCCAGAATGTTTGCATCTAAAAACTGCATATGGGTGTAGGTGCATAACTTGTACTTA